AATACATCTGTGTTTTATCAGAGGAAACAGACACAGATTTCAGAGAGGATGTGGTTCAAAATATACCTCATAACCACAAAAAAAAGATTTTTTGGACCCTGTATTTAACTGTCAACTTATATTTGATATCTGAAAATGTATTCCAAAAATGTTTTGTGAATGTTTAACTGTACATTTAATGTAGGAATATACATTTAATTTTGTAACATATCTCTTAGCAAGCAAAATATATATTTAGTATGTTGTATTATAAAGACACTGGCCTACTTTCATTAGAAAAGTGTATTTTATTGATAGGGTTAGAGTGGCATGAGACTTGGCACAGGAATTAATTTCAAAAAGGTGATGGAAGAAATTACACAAAAATACATCTACATCAAAAGGTCATCTTCATTGGAAAAAAGCAGTGATTAGAAACACATTCAGGATGGGGGAAAAAACATTTACATATACGGAGATAAACCTGAATATTATTTACATGGCAACAGATTACAGTATGTACACAAAGCCAGAACTGGAAGCAAACTGAAGCTCACGGGAGCTTTATTTTTAGGGGAAATACTACTAGACGTTCGATGTGAACAGTCCCAGGAAAGAATGGGGTGATTTGGCAGAGAAATAAATTTGAACAGTGCCTGGAAGTTGTCCTTGAACAAAAGATTACCCCCCTACAGTCTCTGACAAAAGTATTCCAGTAGCCTTTTTGTTAAATTTTTCCTACAATTTCAAAATATATTTTTAAAAGGGAAGTCCTAAACAGCACAAGATTGAGTTTTCAGAGACTGCTAACACAGATATTCCCACATGACAGGTTACATCTGTATCTTACCATAACAATATTGGTTACAGTATATTCAGACGATCCAGAGCAAACATCTGTACATCTATTAACAGACATTCATTATTCAGGCAAACAGAGGAGGTCTGTCCCTTTACAAGACATCCAATAACAGATGAAAACAGAGAGAGAGAGAGAGAGAGAGGGGGATTTTGGGTCAATGTTCAGGGGTCAAAGCCAGGAGGATACAGTACCAAATCCCACCCAGCTAACTGTACTGAGGCCTGTCTGAGTCTCACTGCTCTGTCACCAAGATAAAAATGAGATTATTCAGTAAATTCACCAACAATGACATCAGCATTAATGCTGGTTTTGATTCAACCCTGAGAAAACAGTGGACTGCATGTTCACTTGCGGGCACACCTGCCTAATGTGCCAATGAAGGTAATTTTCTTTAAACAACCAAAAATATAGGACAACTTGCACGGAAACTTACTTATTTGTTTAAGACAGCTAAGACTTTAATTCTACAGATAAACAGGCACAAACGCAGGATTTAAACAGTGATTAGGTCTCCTTAAGACAAATGAAAAGGCATTACAGGTTCAGTCTCGCATTTTTCTAACATTTTTCCATAGGAGAGGTGCCAGTGCTGGAGCCACTTTCTACATCAAATATTTAACCGTTCCGAGTGTTTTGCATCATCAAAGAACTGGACCTTGTCGCGGCAAAAACTGGCTCTACGTCGGCACTGTCAACCTGACTAGGACGGGAAGAGGGAGGAACGGTGCTGCAATATGAAAAGGAAATAAAAAAGAACAATTGTGCAGTCTCCAGATCATCAGCAAGTTGACAAAACCTTCTATAAACTACAGGGGCTTCGAAACAACGTTCACAAAGCAGCACTGGAGAGTGCAACACAAATAATGGAGTGATTTTGGACTAAATTAATTCAGTGCTTGGACACAAGACAAATCAACTCTTGCACAGCTTATCTTGATGCATTTTCACCATCTAACTGTCATCTGCTTACATGTTAAAAAGTACTTATTTCACCATTTCTGTATGTGTTGAGTGGTAAGTTGGATATCTGGTTCAGAGACCATATGCCCGATTTGTAAAATGTTTTGCTGGTTTCCACAGCCAGGCACTGACATCGGCGCCAGCACCGGCACCTTGTGAGTTGAAAAGGCCCAGACAGTCTTGTGCTGTAAGGCAGCGCTCAGGTCAGAGGAGAGTCTCAAGACGAAGCTGCAAAGATCAGATGCTGTCAACAGCTGTTATTTTTTTTAAATCACCACAGTCTCTCCTACTGACTCGTTCCCCTACCAAACCCTGTACTAACAAGAAGGCCAACTCTTCAAAGAGGAGAGTAAAAACTAATATAAAAACGGCTGAAGAAGAATGCTGACGTCTATCGGATTCTTCTAGGGCTGGTCTCTCCCGTCGTCAGGAGCGAGGGGGTGGTTTGTCCCCATTCAGGTCCTCTATTTTCACAGGTTTACAGGGGTCATTGGAGCATGAGCTGTTTGAGGTTGTCATGGAGGATGGTGTCCTTGACGTCCCGGAACACCAGCCTGATGTTCTCCGTGTTGATGGCCGTGGTGAAGTGGTGGTACAGGGGCTTCTGGGTGGCGTCGCGTCTCTTGGTTCGGAAGCACTCCACCATGAACCCCTGGATGTCCGGCAGACTGTGCTCCGGCCCGGTGTATTCAGGAAAGTAGTCCTTGAGCGGAACGCTCTTCACCTTCTCCTCCAGCAGGTCCGTCTTGTTGAGGAAGAGGATGATGGAAACGTTGACGAAGACGCGGTTGTTCACAATGGTCTCGAAGATGTTGAGCGATTCACGCAGCCGGTTGGTCTGCCTGTCCTCCATTAGCACCTGTTAAAGACAACACATTGATTTAATACAATTTCTACTGATAGTTTTAGTGCTAGATGTAATTAAAGTAGTAATTAAAATTTAAGTAGCTGCAGGCAGACTGTCCGTTGCACGGCTCAGCGTGTCCAATCCAATAGCCCTTCTATAAAATAGCTGTGTTACGCTATGAATACTAGTTACAAACTGTGTGGTACAAGATATTCAGTCAGGTTTGCAATTTTTAGTCCCTAGCGGGTCAACTGTTGTTTGTTAGCTGAACCATGCTAGTCAGGTTACCCTGTTGATGTATAGCCCATGTAGTGAGTTAGTACAGTGAACACAAATCATAAAATGACACATTTAATCCTACTGTAAAGATTATATACAATACAGTGGCCAATGATCTATTTCCATTTAAATGTAAAGATTCCTGTAATGGTACCATCTTTTAATAATAAAAAAAAAAAACACTTAAATAACATTTATTCATTTATGTAATTTGTACCATAGAGCACAACTTGCACATGTACACAAAACAGTTTTATTTGTGTATAAATTTACAACTCCTCCAAAGAATAAGAGTGCTTATATAGACACAGCAAAGACGACTTATCAGAAAGTCACCAAACATTATCTGCTAGAAAAAATTGATTAATGCTCCACTTATCAGGCTGTTACAAGTGTGTGTGCGCTTGCTTGTGTATGAGACGGAAGTTAGCCGGCGTGTTTTCACCTGGTCGTATTCGGAGGAAGAGACGAGGAAGAGGATGGAGGTGACCGAGTCGAAGCATTCAAACCAGCGCCTCCGCTCCGACCGCTGCCCTCCCACGTCCACCATCTTGAAGGGAACGTTCTTGATCTCAAAGTCATACTCGTGGATGCCCTTGGTGGGTTTACGGGCCAGCAGGATGTCCTGTTGAGAGGGAAGATAATCCTGGAGGAGGGACGGAAAGACACGGTGAATGTACATGTAGAGAAGATGAGTGTTCGATAAAATAGAATTTGTCAACAATCACAAGATGACGATGGAAATTTAGCTTGTAGACAAACAGAATAGAAACAACACAAACATATGAAAGCTAAAAGTAGCATTTGCATGAAATTAGTAGGCGTATAATCAGGTGATCTGTCTTTACCAAAACATTACTTCAGGTCCTCAGGTAATCTTTTGTGCAAACTTTATTTAAACTATAAATAGGTGGATATTGGTTAAATAAATACATGAATATGGACAACCAATTACGGTCTTAATCCAAGTCTAAGGCTTTCAAGCGTGATCAAGACAAAGAGCTTAAAAAAGTTTGTGATTGTTGAGAAAAATCACAGTATAACATTACAAGGAAACACTTTTTAATATTTGCACTTTGATCTTTTGAAAACTATCATTATCATTATGAAGTGCACTCGTAAAAGGTACAATATCATTCGTTTATAACTGGCTTATCTCAAATCTGGTTCCACTGAAACCTCAGAGTCTTAAATGGAAGCTTAAAGTCGAATGTAAATGTTAGGAAATGTCTGCTGGAGATTGGAGGGAAGCTTGACTTAAGGCTCAGACATAAACATTATTATGTTCCACTGCTTCAGTACTACTGGATGAACTCTTGTTAAATTTAAATAAATATAATGACAATATTTCCTCAAGGTACTCTCAGTCACTGTTTGTGGGTTAAAATAAAGAGTTACTCCAAAAATATGTTATATACAATATATATAATATTCACAGGGAACCGGTTTCACTCAAAATCCTCTGGATCTTAACGTAAGAGTGCAAAAGAGTGCACATTTATAGACATGTGTATACATATAACAGGCAAAGCTACTTAAAGTGAAAGTAAAGGAAAAAGTCATGAGCCAAATAATCTAAGGGATTGGAAAATGTAACATGTATAATCTCGAAACCATTACATCTGAAGGTACGGTGATGCTGGGAATGTAATGAATGTAATGGTATAAAAAGGATCAAAGATAGGCTCTTATTTATTTGGTGGTTGGTGGTCTAAGTTTTTTTTTGTTGTACATGTCAATGTTGTTAAAAATCTCTTAAATAATTTGGATGACTGTAAGGGATGGCATGTATGTTTGTTGGAAAAACTGATAAAATTATTCTTCAAAAAGTAGGTGGATATTTGGCAGCAATTTGAGGAAAAAAAAAAATCTGCCCTTTCTGCTAATTCTGCTAATATGTAAGCAGGTTTCTGCAGGGTTCACCAAGTTAAATGTAAGACTTTTACAGTTTGAAGAAAATCGGAGGGGATGGTGTGGCCACGAATTATGTTTTTACTGTACATGTTGTACTGCAGCTAGCAGTAGCAACAGTGTAGGTCTGACAATACTGACTGAAACCGCACTAAAAAAAAAAATGATTGAATGGCCTCCTGCATCAATCCCACGTTTTACAGGCGTATAACATCTTCTCACAGCCTGCAATCAAATACAAAAACCCTTTTAAAACTAACATTATTGCCTTTGAAAATATAAAGAAAGAAAATATTTAAGACTTTTATAAAAAAAAAAATAGAAGGACTTTTTAAGACCTTGTAAGGCCTTTTATTGAGGAAACTAAATCAAATTTGTAAGACCTGCAGATACCCTGTTATAATATCCACTGACTTACTATGTACTTCTACTAACAATACTGAGGTGATGCCAGTTTTCTCACGGCAAAGCGGCCAGCTAATTGGAGCTTTCCTTGCCCAAATGTCAGCATTATCTTTGGTGAACAACCATTTTAGCTTTTGGCAGCTAACCTTAAATTGTCTAGACATGTTGCAATATTAACTATAACATGTACACATCTGATTATAACAATCAGTGCAGGCAGAAACAACTTACCGGCTCGCCAAGCTTATCCAGATTATCCAAGAAATACTTCACTGACTCACCCTGCGACAGGACAGAGGGAGGAATTTCTGTTAATTCTACACAATTTATGATATTCAGTCATTTTAATCAGAAACAGCACCGTTTTACGTGCATTACTCATTTAAGAACTGCTGTTATTGCATTCAATAGTATACATTTGTTGCTGAGGCATGGAGCCACCACAGGACAAAATCTGCCTTTAGCCACCACACACACCCACACAAACAAACAGGTAATTTGTTTGTGTGGGTGTGTGTAATCTGTTTGTTTTCTCCTCCAAAACTGTGTCTGCCCGAGAGCTGAGTCTGCTCTGAGCAGCAGGATGCAAAGTGTCTGGTATTGCAGTAGACACGTGTTTGTAAGTGTGCCTTTGATGTATACAGAAGTGTGGCTAGATCTGTGTCTGTAGGTATTCTTTTCGAGACTGTTCTGACGCTGTTCATGCGCAATTAGTGCAAGCCCGAACATGAGGCTGCCAAGACCGTGATGCATTCCTTTATCTCTGCGCGTGTGTGTGTCTCCTGTACTCAACATAAACCCAAAAACTGACTGCAAAAAGCAAAAGAGATTATAGCTGGGACCCGCAGTGTCTCTACTGTCACCCACCACGCCATTATCAGGTGATGGTTTTGCATGTATTTTGCATCACTGACACCGTAAACTAACCACCCTTGCGTCAGTCGTAGTTATTGTTAGGGCTGTATTTGTGAGTGCCATTTCCCCCCACTATAAGTTTCTGTTTGTAACCTTTGATCTTTCAAAAAAACTAGCTTGACCTGAAAAACCTGTGTGTGTGTGTGTGTGTGCGCACACACGTGGGAAGTGCGCGCAAGGCTAAGATTACACAAGGGAGGGGTAAAATGGCGTGGCGCTAAGCTAAACCCATAGAAAGAAGAGCTGCCTTTCTGTGAGGGTGATTTCAATTCTGGCTGCCCTCAAGTAAATGAGCTCAAATCTGAGGGGACTGGTGGTTTTGAAATCGTCAAAAAAAAAAAAAAAAAAAAATCAGTCAGATAACAAAAGGAGAAGAGAAACAGGAAGATTTCTCTGAGCTTTTTATATTCATTACAAAGCATGACAACCCCTGCTGCTTAAAGGAGTGGCTGTAAAAGCAAAACTGAAACATAACATTACATAATGTCAGTATTTCAATTGTAGCCACATGACACTTAAGATATAGGATGAAAACTGTGATTTGTCAGCGTGTGTTGCGACATTGATAAAAACCAATCTCATGTGAGAAGAGATGAAAATGTTTATGGCTGATTTAAAAGAGCCAGTTTGTGAACTTTTTACTACGCAAAGTGCTTCAGTCTGTACATGTGCTTTTTTAATGACAATTGCAAGCAAGCCTGATGTCGCGTGTGATTTGTGATGCAAATACATAAAGGGCGTGGTCAGATAACAATGGATTGTATCTGCCAAAAGCAGAAAAACTAATTAGCCCTCGCTAACAGGAGCTGGGAAAATTTAAACAGCTCCCAAAACAACAGCTCTTCAGCTGCTGCGTCTGGTTTTTCTGTGTTTATATTTCAAAGGGATAGCGCAGAGAGCTGCAGGTCTAAGATTAAATATCAAGGTTTTATATACTACAAAGGGCTGCAATAAAGGATTCTTTGAACAGTTTGAAATGTCCAACTATTCAACGTACTATAACTCAAGACAAGGAAAAGCAGAAAATTCTCACATTTGAGAAGCTGCGACCATGAAATGTTTGGAAATTTTTGCCAAAATAGCTGCTGATTCATTTCCTGTTGATTGACTAACTAATTAATCGACAAATTAGTTCAGCTGTAGAGTAATCTGTGTAGTCCGGTGTCGTGTCACGCATACACGGACTGTAAAAAAGGAAGTAGATTAAAATCACCAAATACGAAAAACTTGTAAGGTGAACCAACAAACCAACAGTAAAATATTATATAACTAAATATAAATATTTAAAAATTCTATTAATATAAAAACAGAGAAAAGCAGCAAATTCACATTTGACAGACTGAAATCACCAAATGTTTAGTATCTGTGCTTGATAATTACTACATTACTGCTTAATTATCCCCATTTCTATATATTTTTGTACAAACCAATTGCTTAAGTGACAAATTGTTTCTGCACTAACATTAATGATCAGCAATAGGACAGATTTAGAGGGCACAGTACGGATATATTGACCAAAACATGCAATAAACCAGCAACGATTTTGATTATCAGTTAATCGTTTGTCATTTTTCAGCCAAAAAAATTCACTTTGATGATGGTCATTTGAATATTTTTGTTGGTCTGACAAAACACGCTATTTCAAGATATCAGCTTGTATGAGACATTCTTCACACCAAAATATAAGAAAATAATGTTGTAGCAGCCCTACATGCACACCGAATGTACGTTTGTCCTTGTGCTCGAGGTGTGAGTGTTTGTGCACCAACAACGTTGAGTGGGAGAGCTGGGGCTCTGTTTGTAAGCATAAAGCTGTTTAACTACAGATCAACATTCCAGCTCTGATCACTCTTATTCCCAGTTCTGTCTGCACAGCCAGCTCACACCGACAAGCTGAGTGTGAGGCTAACAAAACGCCATTGAGAACAGTTCAGCCTTATGCAACTCACAGGAACATTTAAATTTTCTGCTTTTGTCTCATTACTGAAAGCAACTTTGAGAAGTGTGTCCCCTACGCTCTCCTCAGTGAGGGTTCCTCAACTGCAGGACAATGTGTAAAGTTCACCACATGACCTGACAGCTTGCAGAGAATTAAACAAACGCAAGGCAACACAATTTTTTTGTTGTTTGGTTTATCGCAGCAGGTTGTGAAAGTAATACCAAGAAGCACAGAAAAGTCCCAGTAAGGACTCCTGAATTTGCTGCCAACCACAGCTCTTATTCTGGTGTAAACGGCAGTGTGATAAGAACATGCATGCTGACAGCCAAGACATAAGGAGCAGGGAGAGGTGTAAACAGGAAGCTAACTCAATCACATGTCTGACCGCTCAACAGAAAGAGAGAGAGAGCGCGAGCGAGCCAGAGCAATAGATACAGGGAGAGAGGAAAGGAGGATGAATTAAATAGAAAAATGGTTTCACTTTCCATTTTCACTGCCGTTTCCCCGCCTTTCAACTCACTAACCCATTTCGAAAAATTTGGTGATTGAGAGCTGGGTACCAGAGCCACATGAAGAAAAAATTCTTATCAATTGTGTGGGCTTGTACAAAAACTGGGGCACCATCATCTTTCAGGAAAGTGTGTGTGTGTGTGTACATCCACTTACCAGCTGAAACTCCCTGCGGCGGTCGTATGCATTCTGTATACCTGAGTCCTCCCACAGAGCTTTGATGGCAGGCATGTACTGCAGGAAGACGGACTGCTCCAGCTGCCCGCTGGTCACCTTAGCCGACCGGGTGTCGAACGCCATCATGGTGTCCCCATGCCGGCTGTTATCCGGGTCACCCCATGGGATGTGCAGCTTCTCCCGGGCGTCCACCAACACACGTACACCTGGAGAGGAAGTGAAAGGATCAAGAGTGAGAGAGAAAGAGGCCCAATTGTGGTTACTTAAAAATCTAGCAGGCCAGATACGAATGAACCAAAGGGGAAGAGACACAATACGAGCAGCCTACCAAAAATAACACAACACCGGTGTCTGACAAACCTGAGTGATGTAGCAGGATGTAAAAAAAAGAAGCTTATTTAAAAAACAAACAAATATTTGTACAAGAGGACTGATTAAAAAATGTGACCACGTTACTGTGATTAAAACTTCTGGGACACACACACACACCATATTACCCTGACCTTGCAAATAAATACATTTTTTGAAGCTTTTAATATTTTATATTAAATTTTTGTGTGTCTGTGAGAGAGTATTAACTTGACTTTTTATGTCGTTTTTAAGTCCCTGTTTACCTAGTATACTCCCTGTACATACAAAGAGTGGACAAACAGGAACACATCATAACGCACACTGGTTGGTGGGTTTACCCTCCATTAGCTACATCACTAGGTTAGCTGTTCAGCCACAAAACTTGCCTCTAGCTATTTGATACTGCTGGCTTGCATGTATGACTGTGAGACAAATTAAAACGTTAAACATATAAGGGCTATAAAGTGTTAAAAATGAGATCTAAGAAGAAAACGGTTCGTATGGGTGTGCCGACAGGACTAACGTTAACGTTAAACTGTTTATGTGTGTCCTCTCACACGGCGCTGTGCTGAACAGATGTGGTAACTTTCCCATCCATTTTAAACGCCTTTCAGTCGCCCTCTACTCTCATAATGCACCTGCACTCAGCAGCGAGGTTACCTTTGATTACGTTGCTGTAAATTGTGCCTTTGAAGTCCTCACGGGCTTGCTGGTCGAAGTCCTGGCCGTGGATGATCCGCATTTGTTTGAGGAAAGTCGACTTGCCGCTCTCGCCAGCGCCGAGCAGCAGGATCTTCACCAGCCGTTTCACGTACGTTTTCTCCCGGGAGAGACATCTGTCGATCTCTTTGGACTTTCGGACCTGTTCTACCTCGCCGGTGTTGAGCAGGCAGACAGGTAGACAAACTTTTAACACGGACCTGGTCGGCAGGAAATCCGCCATGTTCGCACAAACTTCATCGATGCTAATTTGATGCGCGTTCACGGGGGCGCAGGCACGGGACCAAGCCCCTTCCCTAAACTCAGGAAGTAGCGCTGCAGAGTGTTTACCATCAATCTCAAGTGGCTTTAAGCTTAGCTGTTTGTACCATGTTGACTCACACAAACATAACGTCTAATCCTTAGCTATGTATTATCATGACACATCAATACAACTATATGACTTTCAAACAGAAATATGTCAGTTGAAGTATGCATATAGGTAATTATCAGTCTTAACGGTCTTAACGACGCAATTATACAACGACAACTACAACTAAAACGCTCAGATTTATGGACACGTCTAACTCTCTACACTGTTTTTAAATGACAAGACAATCTAAAATGTCTGAGTTCGCTAAATTTATAAAACAAATCGGACTTGACTGGTGGCCACACTGGTGATACCATGTCGCGCCCTGCTGGTTCAGCTTGGTGTTTTGCCTGATAGAAAAAGTAGCTCTCTGATTGGTTGATTCCCCTTTCCCATTACGTGTGCTGCTTTCAAAGGCTGTTGGAAGTGTGAAAATTTGTACCTGAACGCAAGAAAGGTGCAGTCAGGAAATCCTCTTTTTTTCCACAAGTAGACCTCTTTATGAGTCTTTGGGTATTTATGAAGGGAATATAACAGAATTTTTGTGACTATTTTAAGAATAAAGCGTTTAATTTTTTATTATTTCGGGCTTTTATTTATAATGTTATGCCATTGATTGATTTTGTGCATTCGTATGGTTGTTTTTTAAATAATAGAAAAGGCATGATCAAATTTGATTGTAACGTCCACATGTTTGCGAAAAATGAAAATGTAACAGCATAATCATGATTTCCAACCTTCCAAGTAGGAGCTTATGGGGAACACTTGAATGCAGCATCAATATCTATCATTGCACTTCCCTCCTAGCATCCCCACACGACACAGGTCTCACAGGCGACAGTAGCAATTTATATTTGTGTATATGTGTGTGAGACAGTGAAAAGCATCAGATACCATGACTATTAGAAACACTCTCCGGGATCATGGACAGAGGTATCGACCACGGATGGCTTGCCTCAAGAAGGTAGGCTATATCCTTTTACATCAGAGGTGATGATCACAGCCCTGCTCAGGCTTGTAGACTATACATGCAGACGCACCTATAGATAGGTATCTGATGTGAGTTATCTAAGGCAATGCTTTGGTTGTAGGGGTCTGCTGTAACCTCATAAAACCTGGTTGTATTGGCATTTGCTCTTATAAACTGCATTTGCCTCTAAAACTGTCTGTATGCTCCACAGGTCCTCAGAGGAATCCTTGTTTCCTGATGTTTTTAAATGTATTTCGGTTAGACATTTTTTGTAAAACAAAAAACCTCACAGGTACCATTCGGCCTACAGAATTCTTTGAATAAAACAGATCACAAACATGCCGTGTTTCAATTAAGCATGCAGACTATACATTTTAGTTACCAGACTGATTCAAATTAGTGAGAAAATTTTATAAGAACCAAGCATTCATGTTGTAACAGAATTTCAAGACATTAAAATAACAAACAAATGTCATCTTGGTTTCAGTGCATGCTCTATCTGTCTGTCATACTAAATGTTGAGTGTAAGACTGTGTTTTGTTTCGACCATTTCACAGTGATAAGGTCATTCACTTTAATAAGCATTAAGCCTGGATCAGTATCAGCGCCTCCATCTACACCTAGCAGCCGCTGGTAAGAAGTTAATCCAGGGACTGTAGTATTGGAAAACAACAGCCCGGTTCTTTGGCCAGAGAGAGGCTCCATTCATCATCTCACATTTCAAATTCATACACTTCAGGAGCTGGACATTTATCAAAGTGGAATAATTTTTTGCATTGGAAAGAAATGTGCAGGAAGTAATTAAGACAAAAGCTTTTCCATTAGAAAAATATTTTATTTGGCCCAGATGCAGCACTCACAATGTCTCTCCAGGGGAATACTTTCATTTCCAGGAAAACTTCGTGTTTTGGTCCATGAAAGCCCACTTTGGTCCAGCTTAGCCTGGGGCTTACAGCCTCTCCAAGATGACTTCAAAGCACAAAGCCACTTCAAACAGGCCCAGGAGTCATCTCTCTCTCTCTCTCTCTCTCTCTCTCTCTTCACACACACACTTTCACACAAACAAACTGAATGAATGTACTACATGATTTGTTGCTTTCCTGTACACACCTGAGCTGTGGTTTCAGATGATATGATAACTAATAAACTGTTTAGAGGGCAGTGACTCACCGCAAAACCTCCCACACAAGCCAAACAAAAGCCATGAGATCAGGGCATGAAACAAACTCTCTCATCTCACCTCTCGCCACGTTTCAGTGCAGCGGTAGGGTTCAGACTGACTTAATAAAACTACTAATGTAGTTTTTGGACTAAGAATCTGAATTGTATTGTTGAGAGAGCTGGTTAATAGCACTAAATCATAGAGGATTTGTCTGATAGGAAGTATTAATTATAAGCTTTGAGCCTTAATATCACAGGGGTGCAATTTACCTCAAGTTCTCAAATGTTCGAGAGGCAATTCGATTTTTACAAATATTTAATCAAGCAGAAAACAGTTAACAGTGATGTTGTGCATGAGGAAGATAATACCATCGTGTCCTAGATAGTGAATTATTTTGGAGCAGATTTCATTCACAAATCCATCCAACCTGCTTTTTTTCCTCCACCCCACACAGACACACACTCACAATTAGTTGTCGTGGTAACCTCTTCTCACCCCTTATATAATATATTCCTTTGCAGGCGGAGAAGGTGATGCTGGAGATGCAGGACCCCAAAACAGGAGTGAAGTCGCAGCCTCAGAGACTTGTTATCACAACAATACCGCATGCTATTACTGGTAAAGAGGATACATATATACATGAACAGGAGTACACACCTGATGTTATTCAGCAGCTGGCTGAGTGATTGCCTGCATAGTCTTACTGGAGGAGACCAGAGCTCTGGGCTCAAACTCGAGAGCTACAGATTTAATCTCCATGACAACCCCTGCGGTCTCGGAGTCAGGGAGAGGGAAAAAAAAGAAGGAGGTGAAGGAGGAGGATGATGATTGAGCGGGTGAGAGGAAAAGTGCAAATAACAGGGAGAGAAATAGGAGAAAAACAAGACAGAGAGACAGCAAGGACGAGGAGGAGGCGGAGGAGGAGGAGAAGAGAGAAAACCTTAACTTATACGTCATTTGTGAGCTTTGACTACAGGCAGGTTCGCTGCTGAAATAGTGAAACAAGCAAACATGCAAACTGCTTCTCTTTTCTGTTCCTTTGCTTTCTTCTTGTCTCCTTACATTTTCTTTCCTTCTCTCCTCTCCTTTCCTCTTTACTTTCCTTACCTTCCCCTTTTTGACTTTGCTTTCCCCATCTTGCCTCGGTTTTCCTTTCCTTTCCTTTTCTCTCCTCTTTTGTTTCCTTTGTTTCCTACCCTTTCCTCTACTCGTATTTATTTTGCTTTCTCTCCTGTCCTCTGTGTCTATTTTCTTTCCTTTCTCTCCTGTCCTTTCCTCTCCTCTTGTATCCTTTCCCTTTCTTTCCTTTCTCTCCTCTGCTTTCCTCCTTCCTTTCTTTTCCTCTCCCTCTGTTCACTTTCCTTTCCTCATCTTGCCTCTGTTTTCCTTGTCTCTCCTCCTTTGTTTCTTTCTCTCCTGTCCTTTCTTCTCCTCTTGTATCCTTTCCTTTCTCTCCTCGCCTCCTTGTTTCTTGCTGTGCTTCCTTCACAGACCCCCGCTCTTCCTCCTCTTCCTCCTCCCATCTGTCTCCCCATATTAGCTGTCGAGGCTTTCGAGATTCGGCCGTGGTGTATCAGAGAGGGGTCTGGCATTTAGAGTCACACACCAGCCTACCTATGGACACACAGAGAAAACACGTATTTCTTGATGTTTGCTGTGAGAGCTGCTTTTGTAACCGGTGGTGCATATGTTGTTACTTCTGACTTCCACCTTTTCTCCTCAGGTGAAGACATAATTGCGTGGTTAGCAGACAGATTCCAGATAGATACACAAGGTGAGAGATGAGGCAGATGACGTCTTTCACATATGTACATGATTTATAGAGTATGGTAATTAAAAATGTCTTTTTTTATTAAAAATCTTGTTTTTATGATCGTGTAAGGTGTTAATGAATGTGATTTCAAGTTAATATCAGCAGAAATGCCACAGCTGCTGTTAAAGTCCCACTTTCTCTGTATCTGTTGTCTTCAGAGGCGAAGAACTTTGGCTCTATGCTCGTGGCGTTAGGATACATCTACCCTCTACAAGACCACAAACGCTTAGTGATCAAACCAGATGCATCCCTCTACCGCTTCCAGGTAAATGCTCCACATTTCTTCAGAGTTTTTATTTGCTATTAGCGCTATTGAGCAATGTTTCTACAAGTGGCTCTCCAGTTTGTTTTTGTAAGAGGATGCACAACAGTTGAACAACTAAGTTGGTGGTGGTGACGTGTAAAAAAACATAGAAATGGGCCAACAAAGGCAGTGCAAGGTAACTTTTGTTTGTTAACCCTTACCCTAAAACTCACTGACTGTTAAAATATGGGCTGTTATAATAGGGTATTGATGCACCGATTTTCTTTTAGCACATTTAAATCTTAATCATGCCCAGTTTATTAATGAGGTGCAAGGACTGAAGTTTTGATACAATGTGCGTATTCAATCAAAGCTGGATGTTGATGAGTAAGTCAACATTTGTTGGCTTTGAATGACTTGACCATTAGCAGTTAGGGACCATGGTACTCTCTCTTTGTAGCTTCTAATAATATCATTAAGGCTGTAACTAATGATAATTTTCATTATTGATTAATCTGTTTATTATTGCTTATGTCTTTAAAATGTCAAGCAATTGTGCAAAATTGCCCAACCAACAACCCAAAGAAATTCATTTCATGATGATACAAAACAGATCAAAGCAGCAAATCCCCACATTAGAGAAGCAAGTACCAGTAAATGTTTGGCAATTTATCTTGATCAATTACTTAAAAAGTGAATCACATGTCAAAGATTTTTTGTTGTTTGCAAATATCTGCATAACTGATCTGCCGGTAAAATATTTTATTACCATTAAAGGATGGAAAAAAAGGCAGAAGCAAGGAGAAGAGTGTTTGCTATTGTTCACTACTCATTTTGTGACGTAAAACCCCAGACTGGTCTGGTTTTGGTTTCCTGAGCAATGACATATTAACCTAATTTAGCTTCTGATCTGTAACAAACAAATCCAACTTTTGTCTTTTGTTCTTTCCAGACACCGTATTTCTGGCCCACACAGCAGTGGCCTGTAGATGATACAGATTATGGTGAGCGTGACTGGTGATGTACACATTTTATTTCACATCCTGTTACCAACAGGTAACATTCTGTATTTCTGTTTCCTTACTGAAGCAATTTA